ATATTCCCAAAAGAATCCTCACCGAGTAAAAAATTTTCTTTAACCAAGAATATTTACGACAAGAAAATATATTTTACATTAATAAATCTTATGGGAGTATTTACACAGTAATCACCAGATTTACTGGTGAAAAGAAAATATTCTTGGCAAAAATAATATTTTTTCTCAATTCTCGAATTTCGTCTGAAACCCCCACCCCCAATAAATCCATAAAAAATCCACCAAAAATAAATAAATAAATAAAAAATCCACATTCAAATAGCCCGACCACTGTAAACAATCATTACTCCCCTGATTATTCATACATTCAAATTCATTATTGATAAATCAATAGTCGACTCCGAGTGTTGTTTGAAACCGAGCGATGGAGGATATATAGTTGAACAAATTGAATGATTTGCGAATTGAATATAATAGAACTTTAGCCTGTTAATTAAGTGAGATAATATATATAGCATTATATACTCTGTCCTGCGATCCATAAAAATGTCGGGTGGATGGGTGAGTGATGGGCGGAAACGTCCGAGATGGACAAGGCCAATTGTTTATATTACCACAGTACATAACAATGGCAATCCTGAGGATTAACAAGCGGCATCATATGGTACACAGGGCAAACTAATGCCAAACCACCGGAGTCCTGTACCTACTCTTTCCAGGAATTCGACCATACCGTTTGATATGGTAATTCTGACATTCGCCTCCCATCACTCGAATGACTCTTTTTCCCTCTAACAATTTTACTTCGCCCCCTTACCCCTTCACCCCTTTCCACCTCCTTCCCCCTCCTTCACTCAAATTTTCTCTCTCTCTGATTTTTATTCACGCACCAACTCCTCCCGACGCGTGTCCACAAATCCATATGCAACTATATGTTTACTCTATGTACGTGCTCGAAAGCACGTGAGTCAGGTGGATGGCATGTGTATATACCTCACTCCTCTCTTTCTCATTTCCCCTTCACCCTAAAGACCAAACATCATTCATTAATCCGGCAATTGTATCAAATACAATCGCCGGATTGATTGTGATTTATGAATAATCGAGTTACCACCGACGAAAGTACTCCTCCCTCACTCGATTTCCCCCCCCCCC